GTCGATGTTAAGCCTAACAAAGACTATTGTATCGTTAAAAATTATTTTTTTATTTTGTACAAACAAAATAAATATATTGAAAAATATAAAAATAATAAAAAATTATACTTCAGATGTTAATTTAGTATCAAAAATGTAAAATATTTGAGTAGCCCAAGACATAGCCAAAGATTGAAGCGCCACAGCACTGGCGAAAATTTAAATTTGCCGACTGGAATTCTTTCGGATGATTGACTTTTGGAAAATCGACGCTCTACTGTACTTTATTTTTACTTAAATGAATATTAATTAACTCTTGATTGTAGGTGAAGCAACTGCAGATGGGCTTTCATGCACTGTGTCATCTTGATGTACTCCATTAATAGCTCATTGTATGAAGATCGTACTAGTATAACTATGTCCTTTGACTTGTCTGCACTATATACTAGCACAGTTCACTTATCAGTTCTATCAATAACTTTTCCCCTATGTATTTGTAATAAAAGAATATAAGCATTTCTGTAACTTATTTTGCTATTTACTTCTTTTTAACATATTATTTGATAAAATATACTATACTCAAGTAAAACAATAATTTGATTCTTTTTGTTATAAGTTGGTTTTATTTATAATACACTTAATTTTAAATTGTATTTTAAAAATTAACAAAACATTTTCAATAAATTTTCATTTGGAAGAAAATCAATTCTAATCCATAATAGATATAGATAAACTGTAAATGACAGACATCTTTCATTAAAATAAATTTACTTAAATATAAAAATATACATAAAATTATTTTAACTACTAACCTTATAGTAATTCCATACAACTGATGAATAAGCGCGGCCAACTGGATTCAATGTCTCTCGTTTTCCATCAACATATTGCGTAATATCAATGTTTTCAGAATAACACACTCTTCTCTTAGAAAAACAAACAAAATACATATATAATATTTAAATTATGAATTAACAAATAAATTAATAAAATTAAACTAGGACATTGCGTAACTTTGTCATATCACAATAGAATTGAGGCAGAGCCAGAAAGAAAGAAGCAATCCCTGCACTTGTTAGGAACAAAAGAGGCAATCCTTGCATTGGCCAGGTATGGAGAAATGCTCCTTATGCTTGCCGCCNGTGTACAAAGAAGTTTTGTAGGCCATAATTTTTTACACACGCTAAACAAAAATAAAGCCGCAAAAACTATACCTAATTAATAATAATACTTCTTAACGCGAGCGAAGCCGCGGGCAAAAGCTAGTTAAAATATAAAGAATATAGATTAATTGTAATTATATTATTATTGAATCCTTTTGTAAATATTGCTAGATGTTCATTGTAAATTTATTTATAATGACAATACTAAAAAGGTTATTACAGTCAATTCAAGTAAAAATCAAGCTTAATCAAATTATAACTATCAACAGTATATAAATGTACATACAGAAAGCAACTTTAATCGTGGTTTTATTTTTTACATTCATGCTTAAAATCACAACTCAAGCTGCTAAAGAACATTAATTTTGCTTTCATTTTATGACTTTTATTTTTATTCAGTTTTTAAAGTTGAATTTGCAATTCAAACTTAAATTATTTCTCTTATTTTTATATTTTTCAAATTACAAGTAAGTTAAACATTAAGATTTAAACTATGCAATTATTTGTTTGTCGGAAACAAAATATTAATAATAAAAACTAAAAAGAAATTTAAATATTTAATCTGAAAACTGGTCAATAACTAATCCTATCAAAAAAATTTAAATACCTCACATGGTATTAAAAATAATAATTATACCACAGATATGTGTTTTGTTCCATTTAATCATAATGCTATAATTAATACTGTAGAAATATGATTAAACAATAATACAATTACAAAATTTATTATACATAAACTGCAATCATCAATAAAACCAGATTAAAATTAAATGACAGATTTTGACATAATTTTTAATAAAATTACTGAATTTACATTGTTCTTTTCATTATTTAAGGAAATTCACCTAAAGCAAATTAATTTAATTACATTTTAATTAACACCTACCACTGGAATATCTTGGAAGAGTTTCATTAGCATTTCTAAAAATAAAATAATTAAAATATAAATTAAATTTATATAAAAACTCTTGATTTATCATAAAATAAATAAAGTCTGTTTAACTAAATACTGAAATTAAATTTATATAAAAACTCTTGATTTATCATAAAATAAATAAAGTCTGTTTAACTATATATACTGACAGTATTTAGTTAATTATAAGTGATAAAACTCAAAATATGAACATCTATAAGCCTGGTAGTTATATTAAAGCCAAACAATTTCAAGATTAGATCAGGCTATATTACTGCTACCACAGCTACTACTACTACTACTATTAATAGTAGTAGTAATATACTCTGATCTAATCTGGCAATTATTTTAAATCTTTTGACAAACAAATTGCTTATGACATATAAATTTCAAAACAAAAAACAAAAAGAAAATAGAATGAAAAATAAAAATTCAAATTTTTAAAACTCCATGTACAGTACATATATCAGAATATTTAATTCAAGTTTAAATTAAATATGACTCTCATGATTTAAATTGTAAACTTAATATCATATAAATGATTAAAGAGAAATTATATATGCCATTAAATTTTATAATAAAAAATTATTTAAATTAAAAGTATTTATTAAATATAAAATATCAATTAACCTTGGATTATAGAGTTTCCATTCTTTCTTTCCTTCCAATTGAAGAATAAATGCTTCAATGTCATCATAATGTGGAGCAAATCCTTGAGATCCTGGTGGTGTTAAATAACTATAAATAAAGTGCTAGCTTAATATATAACATTTCCAATTTAATAACTGAAATAATTTAAAATAGTTTTCTTTCATTTTCAACAATTATAAGAAAATTTAAAAAAGTACAGATTCAGATTCATTTTATTAATAAAATACTGAGTTACAGTACATACCTGGTGCCATAGACATATAACCAGGTGCAGACAAGAACATATTGGCATTATTACAGATCATTAACATTAGAGGCTACAGTAACATTACATGTGTAGTATATACAAAAGATGGGGATAAAATAACAAGTTGTCCCCCTATAACACTATTGATAATTCCATTTTATATGAATTCCATGTTGTACGAGTCACTTAGATTTTACAAATACGTGTGCCGGGCTGTGAACGGCTCACATATTTGTAAAATCTAAGTGACTCGTACAACATGGAATTCATATAAAACGGAATTATCAACAG